TAACCCTCAATTGTCGCCATGAAACACAAAAAAAAAAACAAAAATTAATATGCGCAAAAGTAAAAAATGTATTGTTTGTTTTGAAAGAATTTAAAAAAAAATAATCCTGTAACTCCGCTAATGGATCTGAAGAGACTTTGGATTTTTGATGGCATATTCTGGATTACCCACAGACCACTTGTGTGAAATGTTAACCCTTAATTGTCGCTAAGAGATAAATAACAGCACAAAAATGACAATGCGCAAAACAAGAATTTTATTTAAAGAATTTGACAAAATTATTAAACATTCGGACCTATAACTCCGACTATATACCCTCTAGGGTTTCGATTTTTTGCTGATACATTTCGGGATATCTTAGGAACTACAATGCAAAAATTTAGGCTTCTATGTCAATTATGAGGTTTTCGAAACCACAAAAGTAAAAATACGCAAAAAGAGAAATTCGTTTTCAAAAATTAACAAAATTATGAAAAACTCGGACCTGTATCTCCGCTAAGGGAACTTATTGGATTTTGATTTTTTTGTCGATGTATTTGGGAATATCTTAGGACCCTCTCTGCAAAAAATGAATGTTCTGTGGCAACTATGAACTTCTCAAAAGTCTATATGTGGTAATACGCAAGATTTAGATTTAAAATAATCAACAAAATTATGAAAATCTCGGACCTGTAAATTCTCTTAGGGAACTTATGGGGTTTTAATTTTTTTAATCTATAATCTGGGATATCTTAGGACTCCCATTGCAAAAAATTAAACGTCTATGCCAACAATAAAGTTCTAATGGCCACATAAATGAAGATGCGCAAAAGACGAAATTCGCATAAAAACTTCCGATAGTATGGAAAATACGAAGCTATAACTCCACAGAATAATTATATAGAGAACTGAATTTCTGACAATGTATTCTGTGATTTTTAAGAACTAACACTGCAGAATCTTAGATATGTAGCTTTATTAAGAGGCACTCAAGACCACATATATGAAATTACGCAAAATGTATAAATATTTTGGAAATATTTGAAAATATTGTGGAAAACCACCGTAACTCAACGTGTGGATCATATGGGGCTCTGATTTTTTCCTGTCTCATTCCTTAATATCCCAAGATCCTCTGAGGAAATATTCAGGTTTTTATCATAACTATAAACCACATAAAACAAAAATGATAGAAATACGCAAAGAAAACTTTTATTTCCTCAAAATTTGGCAGACTTATGAAAAGAGAGGCTTGCAACTCCTCTCAGGTACCATGTAGGTCTTTGTGTTTTTTTGTGATATATGCTAGGAAGCCTAGAGAACCTATATGCAAAATCTCCAACTTCTATTTACGCTATTAGATACATAGAATAAACATATTTTTAGTAACCAAGAAAAATACATAATTCTCATTTTCTTGTGTACCTTATCAGCACCACAAATCAGATGCATATTTTAGTTTAGGAATAACTTAGATTATCCATTTTTGCAGGAGCTTTTCTAGATGACCTTAAGATTATATGTGCCCAAAATCATTGACCTATGTCATGTTTAACGTATATTTAACAAGGAAAAATCAGTGTCACAAAGGGAAAATTTATTTTTTAAAACATTTCCAATATTTATTAAATATAATAGTCAAAATTTATATATTTATTTATGATTTTTGGCGTATATATTCTTTATAGGCTATAGAATGTGTACGCAAAATATTGGAATTTTTACTTAACTTTTAATGGACAAAATTGAGATTTTGCAGTTTGCCGACGGCATATTGAAGTTTCATACACCTTGAGTAAAACCCATTCAAACGGTTCTTACACGAAGAAATAGCGATTAGAGGTATAAATATGTGAGTTGTGAGTTGATTTAAGTTCGAAGAAGCGATTTCTGACAAAATTCGCTTTTAAGCAATTTTTGCCAAAAATGTTTTATTTTGCCGTTTTTGTTGAAGATAAATGAAATTAATGATTTTTATGAGAAATTGAATTGGTTCTCTTGCCATAAAATCAATATTATGTTCCCAATACTTCCCAGAAAACTTGTGTTTTGCATTTGGAAAAAAAAATTCCCAGAATTTGTGCTGTTAGCAAAAAAAAAAAATGCTAATGATCTCAGAGCAAAAACTTGATCTGCAGCAAATATTCCACTGTATGTCCGTCCGTCCGCCACAACATTTCTCACTCTCAGCTGTCTATGCGAATTTTCAAAATTGCATTTGTCGGGTATCTATCTATTATTAATGACATGATTGAATGGCATTAGGTTTTTTGTTTGCCGTTTTCGATATCAAATCGAATTAAGACAGGCCAACAAATGTTTCTAATAACCCTTTGGCAATAAAACGAGAGGAACGAACACTGAAATTAATTATATTTGCGTGTTATTTGTGTTTTTGTGAACTTGTGTAGGTTTTAAATCAATAAATTATTGAAAATTACTATCACTTGATTGAAGTTGATTTTGATAATTGTTATAGATTTATTTGTTTGTTGTTAATTTTTTCTCTCACAAAATCAGGTGATTAATATGTGTGGTTTTAGAAAATTCAATGGCAAAATGAAATCATTTTTAACTTCCTTAATATTTTGTTTTTTTTTTTTTTTTCAATTTTTCATCATTTTACGTCTGCAAGAAATTATTTCAAATGCCTAGACTAAAGGAGTTCTTTGAGTGTTTCATTTGAAGTTTTGGCCAGACATTTTGGCATGTATCCAAGAAATTTTTTTTAAGTTCCCCTACATGTAGAGTTCGACAAAAATATTATTTTTTTATGATAGCCACCACGAAGTGGAGAAAAACATAATAAAAGCAAATATATTTTCCTTTTTACTTAGAACTTCGTAGGGGCTTCTTGGAAAATTGCAAATATTAATGTAATAATATTGAAATACATTTTGAAAGCAGTTTCAGCTGCAATTATCGAAAGGCAGTGATGTTAGGAATATTGACAAGATATTTCAATTAAAAAAACGCCAAAAAATGCATAAAATTTAGTACCTTTTAATTAAGGGTCGTCATCTTTCAAGGTTCGAATGTTTTAAATAATTTTGATTTTTTCTAGACACTTTCAAGAATATTTCGAAATTATTTGAAAATTTTAAAACATAGTTTTGAAAAGTTATGGCGTTTTGAATTGACCTACGTATCTATATTTTTCGTATTTTTGTAAACTTCGTGTTTTAAAATTGTAACTTATTAGTTAAAGTCTAGGGTTCGAATGTTTTAAATAATTTTGAATTTTTCTAGAGACTTTCAAGAATATTTCGAAATTATCTGAAAATTTTAAAATAGAGGTTTGAAAAGATATGGCGTTTTGAATTGACCTAACTACCTATATTATTTCGTATTTTTGCAAACTTAGTGTTTTAAAATTGAAACCCGCTAGTTACAGTTCAAGGTTCGAATGTTCCACATAATTTTGAATTATTCTAGACACTTTCAGGAATGTTTCAAAATTATCTTGAAATTTTGAGACTACGGGTTTCAAAGTTATGACGGTTTCTATCAATTTTTTTTTTTGGATTTTTCCAAATATTAACACTTTAAAAATGAGGTTGGTTACTTAAAGTTCAAGGTTTGAATGTTCCTCTTATTTTTGAATTATTCAAGACACCTTCAAGACTATTTCGAAATTATTTTGAAATTTTGAGACTAATAGTTTCAAAGTTATGGCGGTTTATATCATTTTTTTTTCGAATTTTCACAATTTTTGATATGATGTGTTAAAAATGAGACTTATTATTTAAATCCCACAAAGGTTCGAACAATTAAAATAATTTTGATTTTTTCTAAACATTTTCAAAAATATTTCGAAATTATTTGAAAAAATTGAAACTAAGGTTTTCCAAGTTATGGCGGTTTAAAGTAGTATCCCATCGCCAGAATAAAAATTATTTGACATTTTTATTTTTCCAAACCCTCAAAAAGATATTTAAAAATTATTTGAGTGTTTTCAATTTCTGGTTTCAGTTCGATAAACTTAATTTATGACCTTTAGTTACCATAAAAGTGTAGAAAACCCATTTTTGGAGTCATTGTAAGACCTTCTAAAAAATAAGTAATTTTTTGTTTTTTTTTCTTTTTTTAATATTTTGCCATGTAAAAAATATTCCCTTTTGGGTTCGAGTTTTCCAAACAATTTTCAATTTTTCTAGGCACTCTTAAAAACATTTCAAAACAGGTTTGGAAATTTTAAACCAAAATTTTGCAAAGTTACGACAGATTGTTTGAGACTACTTCGAGAAAAAAATATTTTTTAACTATTTCGATTTTTTGCAGTTTCAGAGGAATTTCAATATTTTTTTATAATTTTTATATATAGGTTATAACCTGTCAATCTTAAATTTTGCCACCTATTGCAGTCTTAGACATGGACAATTATTTTTTTCGATTTTTCCAGGTCGTCAAAATAAATTATTTAGTTTTTAGGAACTTTTAAAATTTTATGCCATTTAAAAAATATTCAGTTTTGGTTTTGAGTTTTCAAACAAATTTTCAATTTTTCTAGGCACTCTTAAAAATATTTCAAAACAGATTTGAAAATTTTAAAATGAATTGTCGCAAAGTTAGAGCGTTTTTTTTGAACCTATTCCGGGCAAAAAAGCAATTATTGTTTCTATTTCGATTTTTTAGCCATTCTAAATACAAATTATTTCTTTAATTTCAAAATTATTTTGAATTTTTTAAGCCACTCAACAAACGACGTCAACTCCATAATTCATCTGTAAAATTTTTATTTGAATCTTGCTTCTAATTAATTTACTTATTTTAAAATTGCTTTAAAAATTCCAAAACCAGTATTTCTATTTAAAAATTGGTTCTCAATTTCTTGATTTCCAAATTATTTTAAAGTTTTTAAACCAGGTTTCCTAGCTTCAAACTAACTTTAAAATCCTTTTGCAACATTTTTATTTCAATCTTGGTTTTCAATTTATTTCCCCCTGTGGTCCTCAAAAATTTATTAATTTTTTCCAATTTTTTCCTAAAATTGAATTTAAAATTTTTTTTTCGAAACTTACCTGTTGCCAAAATTGTGCCAATAAATAAATTTGTTCCTTTTTGAAAAACCAATCCATTGATTGTACAGCCGTCAAATCCATATCGGCTGTACCGGCTGTTTGTGGCAATGTTGGCTGCATTCGGTTGCTTTGGTTCGAGGAGGCCTCAACAGCTATTGGATCAATATTGATGGAGCTGGAGCTGGTCGAGGTAGCCGTGGTGGTAATGGTGGTGTTGGAGCTGATAATTGGATTAGCGGCCACAGGTGATAAGGCTGTTGTGGGGGAGGTTGCGGCTGGTTTTGATTCACTTGCGGATGATGCAAATGCCAATGGCTTGGATGACGTTGATGATGATGATGGAGATGAGGTGATGGTGTTGATGAAGGTGTTTGGGGGGCCAGCAGCCGTGGCGCTTGTCAATGGACCACTACTGTTAGGGCGGTGGCTTAATGTTGTTGCTGTTGTTGTTGTTGTTGTGGAGAGCAACGTTTTTCCTGTTATAGATTCCAGTTTGTCTGTTTTGTTCTTAAAACACTTTTCCAATAATTCGGCAGGTTTTGAAACTAAATATTTTTTAATGCTCTTCAATATCAACACAAAACCATATTTTCTAACACAAATTTGAATTTGAATTTAATTTTGGCCATTGAGTTGTTGTCAGATTTTTTTTCCAAGGAATTGATATTTTTTTTCAAAATTACAGCATTTTTCTTTAATTTTCTTTTTTTAAATTTTAAAATTTTTTCTTAACACTCTGTTTTGATTTTGGGGGGGTTTTCAAATTTCCATATTTTTTTGGTTTGATTTTTTTTCGCAAAACACTTGTTTTGTTGTTGTTGGCAAGATTTTCAGCACAGTAAACACTTGTTTTGTTTATGTTTTATGTTGTTGTTGTTATTTTTGTTCCACTTGGTTTTAAAATAAGTATTCCGTCTAGGCATTTATTTTTTATTTTATTTTTTTAATTTCAGAATTAATCCATGATTTTTTTTCAGTTAGAATTTTTTTTTTCAATATTATTTTTTTTATTTTGAATTTTCCAATAATTTTTGAAAATTTCTTGGCTATTACATGTGTGTTTTGTTTTTTTGTTGTTGTTATGTGTGTGTGTGAGTTTGGTTGTTTTTTGTGTGATCTGATTTGATTATTTACTACAAAAAAACCGATAGACAGCGCAACGTTAATCTAATGAGATGTTGCCTGTCACGAATTCAACTGATGACTAAACAAATCGAACATTAACGCAGCTTACACAACCCCATTGAACAAAAACAACACACAACAACTATGGGAGTAAGCCAGCCAGCCAGCCAGCCAGAGCAATCAAACAGCCAAACACACGGCAGGCACACACACAGCTACTTACGCACACATAGCTACATTAACAGCGAAACCAACAAACAGACAACCAAACACACGAACGAACCACCGAGCAACGAACATTCAGGCAAACTCATTTGCCTTTGCCTCGTTGTGAGCGTAAGCAAACCTTGTGCTCTTGTTGGTTTGCTCTCGCTCTCAATTCATTTCGGTGTGTGTGCGAAGGAAATGAATTAACGGTTGGCTGGCTGACTGGGTTGCTCTCTCGATAATGCATCACACACACGTGAGTATTGGCTGTTGGGTTTTGGTTTATTGGTTTTGTTTGTTGGTTCGTTGCTGTTCGTCTGTCGTGCAGGGGGGTTCACATGGCTGGTGTGCCGATGGACGAGTCGGTGTGTGTGATGGAAAAACTGAAAATACGGTATTGTGTCGATTGTTAAGGGGCAAAGAGCCAGACTCCCATCAAAAGAGAGAGAGAGAGCGAGCGCATTGTATTGATGAGTATGGTTTTTTTGTGGAGGGAGAGCAGCTCTCTCACTCATTTAATAACTGTTTGATTTGTTTTGTTTGGCGATTTGTTTTGTTTGTGTTTTTTCTTTTTCGTTTTGTTTTGCTTCAGTGGCTTGCAGACAACAACAATTCTCACTCACTCATCATTATTGCTGGTGGTGTGGCTGTTGTTGTTGTTGTTGCTGTTTTTGTATTGCTCTCAATTCATGGGGTCATGTAATAATATAACTCATATTGACTGCTCAGCCAAGGAAAATTGTCATGTTAATTTTATTTCGAACCAATAGCCATACATCCCCACTCAATTGATTGAAAAACCAGGCTCTCTTGCTCTCTCTCTCTTTCTCTATTAAATAAATAAAAATAACATTTCACAAAAAAAAACTCCTCCCCTCAAAAAATTTTTTTTTTGAAAAAAAAAAAAATCAAAAAATTATTAATCAAAAAAAATCAATAATAAATTTTAAGTAAAATTATCAACTTTCCCCTCTTCTCCCTTTGGCCAAAAAATCCCTCTCACTCTTTTTTGCCAATGCTCTCCACAAAAGCATAGAGCAAAAACCTTAACTCTCATACTCACTATAACAGGCATTTGATTGTGGTTGTCGTATCTTTTTTTAAGACAACCCCCCCTCCTCTCTCTCTCCCCTTCATCAACAAATACCCACATGGGAGTATGTGTTTGGCCCCCCATTTTTATGGTAGCATGCTGCTGCTGCTCATGCCTTCTCTCTTACTCTCAGGCACCATAAGGCAATAGGTACTTGGTTTTTTTTTTGTTGTTGCTTGGTTGCTGGCTTGCTTAAGCAAATGGTTAGCTTTTCAGATGATTCTTCTACTGCTTCAGCTTCTTCGCCTCCTGCTGCTTTGTCTTCTTCTGTCGTCTTGTATAAATGGTGTTAAGCTCTCAGAGTTCGATTTTTTATGTCTTTTGCATTTATTCAATTCGATAAGTTTTTTTTTGTTGCTGCTGCTTCTGCTGCCGCCTGGTATTGTCATCGCTGGCAAGGTATGGGGATTCTGGTGCTGGCCTGTCTCCCCAACCGGCTCCCCTCTCCAGAGGAATATGTTTGTGTTATTGTCTGCTACTAAGGTTTGTGCGAGTTGTTTGTAGTTGCTGTTGTATTGAGAGTGAGGTGGAGCACAATATTATTGCTGGGTATGACTTCAAATGTGAATGGGATGTTATGGCTTGCTTGGAATCGTCATTGCTGCTGCTGTTGTTTGTTGTTGTTGTTGCTGCTGTGTTAACAATTCATTGTTCTTGCCTTTCTTGGGCCATAACGTTGTTGTAATGTGGATCCATAGATATTCTGTGTTTTTTTTTTGTATTTTTTCGTCCGTTTTTCTTCTGGCTGAATGACGGGATAGCAATACGGTATAGATGGATGGATATCCACACCCATACATATGTATGTTCATATGTGTGTGAGGATCCAACACACACATATAGTGAAGTACCCCCCTCTCTACATCATAATATAACTATGTTGAATATGTTGGCTATGATTGCTATTGTTGTAGTTGTTGTTGTTGTTGCCATTATAACTATTGTCGTTTATGCCATGGCTAAATGAATGTCGTTACTGCTGTTGTGGATTTATTTATTTATTTTTTTTTTTGTTTTTGTTGGTTGCAGTAATTGTGCTTGTTGTTGGGTATTGATATTATTACTGCAAGAAAAAAAAACGAGAGATAGGAAAAATGATTTTGAAATCAATATTGAGGTGATTAGGGAGGTTCCAAGGTTTCAGATTTATATAAAAAATTATATATAATTTTATAAATATTTTTTGACCAACTTTCTGGCCCTGCGAAAATAAAAATATAATTATTTTTTTTATTAAAAATATAATTATTTTTTTATTAAAAAAATATTAATTTTTTTTTTTATTTTAAAAAATATATTTTTTTGGTACAATTTTTTAAAAAAGTTTTTTTTTAAATATCATTTTTATAAAAAAATAACCGTGGATTTTAGAAGAGGTCTGTAGACTATAATCACCACGCTTGGACGCCACTAGCCTAATAAAATGCTTAAAAAAAAAATAAATAAATCTTAGGCATCATATCGCAGGAATGGTTTTAAATACTTCGCTAATTTTTAAGCATTATTGTTTTTAAAGGAGAATATATTTTTTTTATTTTTTTCAATTACCTACTGGCCCTGCGAAAATCTTTAAAAAATATTTTTTTAAGTAAATTTTAATGAACATTTTTCAAAGGCCCAAAATATTTTTTTTTAAATTATTTTTTAAAGTAAAAAGTGGATTTTAGAAGAGGGCTGTCGATTATAAAGACAAAGCTTGGGCGCCACTTAAAAAAATTAATTAAATAAATGTTGGACGTTGTTGGAATGTTTCGAATCCTTTTTTAAGAGAGAATAACATTTAAGAGAGAATAATATTTAAGAGAGAATAACAAACGTGGATTTTAGAAGAGGGCTATAGCTTATAATGACAACGCTTGGGCGCCACTAGCCTATAAAAATGGTTCAAAACAAAAAATACAAAAAAGAAAAATAAATAAATGTTGGAGGTCATATCCTTCGATAATTTTTGGCCGTTATTTCTTTTAAAGGAGAATATTTTTTTTTAATTACCTTCCGGCCCTGCGAATTTTTTTTAATATTTTTTTCAAGTAAATTTTAATGAACCATTTTCAATGGGCCCTTTTCTTTTAAATATTAATTTTTCAAATAAAAAGTGGATTTTAGAAGAGGGCTGTAGATTATAAAGACCAAACTTGGGCGCCACTTCAAAAAAAAAAGAAAGAAATAATTAATTAAATAAATGTTGGACCCCATATCGCAGGAATGTTTCGAATCCTTCGATAATTTTTGGGCATTATTTTTTTAAAGAGAATATTTTTTTATGAGGATTGTTTGAAAGATCTTTGAAAATTTTTAAAAAAATATTTTTTTTGAGAACCTTTTAATGAACCTTTTTAGGCCCAAATTAAGTCTTTTTAAATATTATTTTTATAAAAAACAAACGAGGATTTTAGAAGAGGGCTGTAGATTATAATGACCACGCTTGGGCGCCACTTCAAAAAAATAAATAAAAATAAATCTTGGGCATCATAATACGATTAATTTTGGGCATTTTTTTAAAGAGAATATTTTTTATCAGAATTTTTTTGAAGGACCTTCTGACCCTGCAAAAATATTTAAAAAAATTGTTTTGAAGTACATTGTTTTGCCTTACCCACCGTCTCCCAAAAATGTAAAATTTTACCACCTACTCCCTCATATGAAGTTTTTTTTTTGTTTTTGTTTTTTTGATGCCGAAAAATTAAACTTCCCCTTTAGGTGTCTGGTGGGTGGGTGATTAGGTGGTTTCGGATTTCGTTTGAACATTCAAATTATTTAGAATATGTATATTTTTCGTTTTGTAGCAACGAATATGTGAATGTTTTCCATTTTTATTTGGGCATAAATTAAAAAAACTTGGTTATAATTGAATTGAATGGAACAGTGGATCAAAGATTGGATATTTAAAAAAATGAGAAATGAATTTCTAGGAAAAATTCCAACGTTTTGTAAGACATTTGTGATAAATCTGGATTACAAAAATTTAACTCAGATTGGGCGCCAAATCAATATATTAAAGAAACAGTTGTGTATTGATTATTTATGGGAACTGATGGACTATCCAGGAGAATTTCCAACGATTTGAATGACATTTGCGTAAAATCCAATAGAAAAACATACACCAGCTAGGGCTTGGAATTATAAAGTTTGAAAGACATTTTCCACATACCAAATAAATTAAGAAATTTAAAAAAAAAATCATAAAACTATTAGGAGACTTCCTGACATTTCCGTATAAATACCATCAAAATATACGCCAATTTGGGCGCCAATCTTATATTTAAATCAAAAAGTATAATTTTAAAAATATTTGAATGAGTCCAATATTTAAAAGCCCAAGCGAATATCCAGTTATTTGAAAGACATTTGAAAATAAATCCCATTAAAAGCGTATATTTCCCACATTGGACGCAATTTTTAGACATTTGTATATAAATTACAACATATTTGGTTTAAAATTATGTAACGAACTTTTAAGAGACTTGAAGACCTCGTATGGGAGTTTCCAGTTGTATGAAAGACATTTGCGCATAAATCCCATGACATTGGGCGCCAAAATATATGCCAATTTGGGCGCCAATATTATATTAAAAACAAAAACTCGCGTCGATCATTTGAAAAATATTAGCATGAGTCCAATATTTAAGAGCACAACCTGATATCCTGTTATTTGAAAGACATTTGAACATAAATCCCATTAAAAGCGTATATTTCCCACATTGGGCGCCATTTTAGACATTTCCATATAAATCACAACATATTTGGTTTAAAATTATGTAACGAACTTTTAAGAGACTTGAAGACCTCGTATGGGAGTTTCCAGTTGTATGAAAGACATTTGCGCATAAATCCCATGACATTGGGAGCCAAAATATATGCCAATTTGGGCGCCAATATTATATTAAAAACAAAAACTCGCGTCGATCATTTGA